CTATTGGCTGTTGCTCCCTTTAGTGGACAGATTGAACCCTTAAACTAAATATTGCTTCTCTCCAACTCGAAGAAGTGTTACCTTCGTTGCCATAAGTGATGGCAAGTGACTAACACCAGAACCCCGATATATAATATGTACTTGACTCCGTACGGAGCTTCGATCGCCAAACACTGCCACTTAGTGAACATTTTTCCCGAATGTTTTCAGTTCATGGTTAGTTGTGTGTAACAAATGGACTCGGCTCTATTGAAATCCCCTTTACAATCGGCGTAGATCGATAGCGGTAAGCGCTTAAAGGCATCAAAGGGCAGCGCAAGAGATATTTGGTTGCCACTTCCGTGGCACGTGAAGATTTCAAAATGAAAACGGCCGAAATAAAAGCGAAACCAAGCTAAAATGAAATATAAAAGAATTCGCCAGTGTATATTACCCCAAAGAAAGACGCCTCCAATTCTCCCCCCAGTAGTTCGTGTGCGGTATTTTTTGTTTCCGGTGTCCTTTTGTTGATTTGTGTTCACTGTACAGTTGATGAATACTGTGTTTTGTGTTTGCTTTCGTGCGTCCAGCATTATTTCGTCCAAAAGCTAGAGGCGCTGCCGCTATTTTCATTTATTGCACACACATACACTTTCATCCGCGCGCATTTGAAATTACTTACCGTGAGTGGTATGCTTTTTGCGGTGGCCACTCACTCGCTACTTACCACATGCGGCATGCGCTGCGGCGCGCTTCAAAAGCCAGCTGCTTCTATTTCTCCTGCTTCGCTAAGCGCCGCCGCGGTAATATTGGACCAGTGCTGTTTATTTTGTTCAAGCCACACACACACACACCGGCAGCGGCTTCGTGCGCCTTCGCTTACCTGCGCCCGCCTTCAGTATGGCAAGTGGCAATTTGCGCAAAAGGAAAATGTTAAATACTTACTTACCGGTGCATGCAAATATTAATAATTCTCGCTTTTGAAAAAAAAAAAAAATCAGAAAAGTGCAGAAAAATTCGCTAAATTAATTCTATGTTTGTGTGTGGCATGCGGCGCGAGTATTTGCAAAAGCAGTCATTATGAGAGAACCTTGGCGCTCATTTTCCTAAAGTGACCACTTGCCTTGCTCAAACACACACACACACACACACACACCCACGCGCGAGTTCATAAATAAATGCAGCGCCAGCTTGAAATTTCAAAAGGCATAAATTTCATTTCGCTTTGCACACTTTAATTGAATTTCCTCAAGATTCATGTGAATTTACGGTCATTTTAATGTGTTTTCTCTTTGTAACGTTATTTCACTGTGTTCTCTCTAAATCTATTACGGTTTTTAAATAACTTATTTAAATTGTTTTTCTCTTTCTTGTACATTTTTCTCATATCCATAAATATTCGCTTTTAACTCATTTCCATTTGGCCAGCGTTGCCAATTTACGCACTGACCTCCAATCCATAAATTCATTTGTTGCCGATTGCCCTGACAGTCATATCACTCCAGGGAGCAATACAAAGGGATTTTCAACTTTTCCACTCTGCATACGCTTATCTCTCCTCATTCAAGTCTTCATGCTGCGCTTGCCGATCCGCCCTGTCTCCAAGCTCATTCATTTTCTTATTTCCTTGTTTTGTTTTATTCGTTTATACTACTGTGTAGTTGCGTTTTTCTTTTGGCCTTTTATGTGCTCTCTTATCGCATTGGCATATCCGTTACAAAGTCAGTTTTTCGGTCACTTTAAAATGTCCCAGTAGGAAAATGTTGACAAACATTGCTAGAGTATATCTTTAAATTACTACTTTTACCGCTTTATAACTGTTTTTCAACCATTTGCAGATTTATGAGGTCAACAGGCTGATAAAGCATTAAACTTTCGCTGTTGTTGCATGTTTCGTAGTCTTTATGTAAAACCGGTTGATTTTGTGGTCGTAAAGGCAAAAAAGTAAAGTTATCTCTCAAACAACAAGTTAGCGACATAGTTCTTCTTCTTCTTTGTAGGCGTAGACACTGCAGTTTACAACAGCGCGTCAGTTCTTCCTCCTCTTCTCTGTTTGGCGCCAATTGGAGATTCCAAGCGTATCCAGTTTCTTCTCCACCTAGTCTTTCTATTGGAGTAGAAGTCTTTCGGGTACTGCGTCGAACACTCTCGGAGCTGTAGTGCCTTCGTCCATACGCACGACATGACCTAGACAGCGCAGCCGAAAAAATCCTGTTGAAGCCATAATTTGGCTCTATGACGAGTTCCCCTACACTGTCCTAGGAAAATGTTAGACGTTAGACGCCCTAGTAAAATGAGCACCGAAAACGGTGAATGTAGTGTAGGCCCAAACGGGGCTTGGATGACTGTAAAGGGAAGTTTTTTGAAATAGCATGCACGATAAACATATCAACTGAACCGAATATTGAGATATTAAAAAGTTCTGTGCAAAGTGGCTGCCACGCGAGCTCTTTTTTGACCAGTTCGTGATTTGAAGCAAAATTTGGAGATGTTCAAATCCAAATTTTTTCATCGATATTTGGTAATGGCTGATATATAACTTCATCATTTTACTCCGAAGACCAATCGACAGTCATCCCAGTCAGTCATTCATTCTGCTGGCAAGGCTTGGCGTCTGTATTTTAGGATCCGCAGGAAATAATAATTATGAACTACCTTGAAAAAAGAAGGTCCATCAACAGTGGCTATTACATAGCGTTATTGGACCGTTTGAAAGACGCCGAAAGACTGCCGCATTTGAATAAAAAGAATCTGTGGTTTCACCAAGACAATGCACCGTGTCACAAGTCAGTGAAAACGATGCCAAAAATCCATGAATACGGTTTCGATTTGTTTTCGCATCCACCGTACTCTCCAGATCTGGGCACCAGTGACTATTTTTTTTTCTCAGATCTCAAAAGAATGCTCACTGGGAATAAATTTTCATCAAATCGAGAGGTTTGATAGCGAAACTGATGACTATTTGGAAGCAAAGGACAAATCGTGCTACAAAAAAGGTATCGAAAAGTTGGATGGTCGCTATAATTAATGTATTATCCTTGAACTATGTTGAATAAAAAAAAAAAAAAAACAATTTTGCCAAAAAAAAAAATGTGTTTTACTATTTTGGGTTGGGATTTTTGGGAAAATTTTGAACTTTACTATGAAAATTAACGATCTATAAAGAATGTGTTTCGCGCGCTTCGCTCAACGTATGGTCAACAGAATCGGAATACTGAGCGTACTATTCGCAACGCCATTATCTATTTTGAGACCCAGCATTCATTATTGGATAATATTCGCCCGAATAGACCACGTCCAGCATGTGGTGAAGAAATTATAGCAGCCGTAGCTGAGAGTGTACACACGAAGGCCGTTTATAGTACATTTGGCGCCGTTCGCAGACACTCGGACTGACATATGGAGCGACTCGGTATATTTTACGACGAGATCTTATATTGAAAGCGTGAAAGGATTCAAGAGCTGCCATTTCATCCAGAAAAACCAAGCATCAGAATGTTGTTGGTGGGAACGTAACCATCAATGGCAACCATTATCGCGTCATGGTATTTGATGAATGAAATTGGCGCTCGTGATCTCGGCGACATTTGGTTTCAAAAATACGGCGCCACATCCTACACATCACATTAACCAATGAATATATTGGCATAACACTTCGGTGAGCAGAATATTTCAAGTTTTGGGCTGGTTGATTTTCTACCAAGATCGTATGATATCACTCCGATAGACTTTTTCCTGTGGGGATATGTAAAGTCTAAAGTCTATGCAGAGAATTCCGCATCGATTCTGACCTCACAGCAAATCATCACGCGTCTCAACTAAACGATCGGAGTCATGTGTTTGCATGAAAAACTTTTTGATTCAACGAGATATCTTCACAAAATTTAGCATAGGTTTGTATAATTTGTACAATAATGCCATATCCGAAGAAATTGCTCAGATCTGCCAACTACAGCTACCCACAACAGGTCCCTGCACAGAATCTTTTGCATTTGCGAAGAGCATTCTACCTTCTGTGCAACCGAAGTTAACTCTTTTGTCTATTTTATTAATTATTAATTATTATTATTAATTATTTATTTTATTAACTAAAAATGTGAGACTCTAGAGCAACACCCCGTCCTTAAAAAATTCCTACATGGTTAGTAGGAGCCTGTGCCACAGTGCTTTAATCTCACATTTTTATTTCACACAATATATTCAACTGTGTGCAGTTAACAGTAATCGCAACATATGGACAAGGCAAATGCGTGCCTTTGTAGTTAGTGAGAGTATGAAAGTTGGGCTATAGGCGTGACCAAAGGCTGTTTCGGTGTAGGCTTGAGCGCGTTTGTAACGCATTTCACTTTCTGAACTAACTTAATCGCCATGACTGCAAAATGTCTTATTGACTTTTGCTCAACTAAAGCCGACTTTATTTATTTTAAAGGCTAACTGCTACTTACAGTTACTTAATTCCTTGTTATTTGCTGTTGTTGTTCTTCTGAGTTTATTTTAAAGTCATCGGGTTTTATTGCAAAGTTTTGATATTCGAGGGTGGGCTGAGCAAATGGACTTGGTTGCTGTTTCATATGTTGTAGCGAACTGTTTTTCGTCGCTATTTCAATATGCCGCCCCCCCCTTGTCATTTCGGCGCTGATCCGCTTTGCCGCTCACACTTGCCTCAGCGGAAGTAAATTGATTTCAACTTTAGATTTATAACGATTGCCTAACTAATGATGGCCCATTCGTTCTGCTCGGCAACCGCTTAACGGCACGCAACGTTAGCAGTTAATATAAATTTCTATGTCTAATGTCTATTATTTGATTTTATGTCTCAAGGCGTGTAGCTACTTAATTCGGGAGATTTACATGCCAACGGAGGAAGAGAGGCCTATGTTCGGCACGCTTCGTGTTGCTCGTTAAAAAATTTATTACTTGCGAAATTTTAATGCCACACTTCTGTTTTATTTCGTATTTTATTTGCTGTTTTTATTATTGTTCTTTACTGTTGTTTTAATGCCGGCACTTTTCACTTGCAGGACTGGGCGATACGCAGCGAGGAGCAGAGCTTGATGATTGAGCGCGTCCTTGTGCTGATACGGAACGTGCTTCAAGTGCCAGCCAATCCGGAGGCGGAGTGTCGTGCCGATAACGATGCCAGTCTGCATGACCAAGTTATCTGGGCGCTGCATCAGTCGGGCCTCATGGATTTGGTGTTGTTTGTGGTGTCATCACCGGATGAGCATCAGTTTCATTTGCACGGTTTAGAGATTTTGTGTCTGCTCTATCGCGAACAAGTGAGTATCTGTTCATACTTATGCGACTAAGATGAAGTTGTTGGCAAAGAATGCAGGCAGCGGTGGTGGAGTTGATGGCGTTTGGTGGTAGGCTGTGAATGAGTTAAAAGACGCTACGCGTTGGTTGATGAGAATTTAGCGGAGCTAAAGCACACTGCAAGAAGAATTTGCAATTTGTAAATGAAAATGTGGTGCAGTTGTATTAGTGGATAGCTTGGTAGTAGTCTAAAATTTAAAGATCTCTTCACGAAAAACATTTGACGGCCATGTGCTTAATTTTAATGTGCTGTAGAATATGAAAAGTATCTTTCTTTAGGGTCCAGGTCAAACGGTTTTGCAATTCTTGCACATCAAACTGAAATATGGCACAATAAACTATCGTATTTACGCCAAATAGTTTCAAAGCTAATCCTGCTCCTTAAACGAGTGCACATTTAGGGACCCGAAAAGTTAAACTGAAGCTATATACTTATGTCAGCCTCATAAAAAGCAAAAGTGTAGCTCGCAATTTGTTCCACTCCTATAGTGCTACTTCGGACTGAGTAGACAATTGAGAAGTAAAATACTCGCTTTTAGCGAACAACGACCAAGTCACTCATCAACTCCGTCCTGTACGTGGTGCAGAGATATTGACGATGACAACAGCTGTTGAGTCGGCTTTACGAGTTTTCGAGAGAAGAGTTCTGCGCAAGATTTATGGACAGTCGACAGATTTACGTGATATACAATGGCATTGACATAGTTCAGATTATTGAGAAACAGCGGCTACGTTGTCCGAATGGACGAAAACACTCCAGCTCTGAAAGTATTCGACGCAGTACCCGCCGGGGAAAGCAGAGGAAGAGCAAAACCTCCACTCCGGCGGAAACGATGTCTGCCAGAATAGTAGCCTCTAGTTCAGTAATGAAATAAGTAAAGGGTTTGTCCGGAAAGTAACAGTTATCTCACCAACGCCGTTATCACAACGCTTCCGCAGCTGCCCTACAGCCCAGATGTGGCACCCGGACACTTTTTTGCGAAAAGGCCGATGAAAAGTGATCCAAGCAGCATGTACCTCGGCTGTCAAGGCTATTCCGGATAACGCCTTCAATGTTAGGATATCCTGCTGGTAGTGCTGCATTGACGAAGAAGGAGCATATTCTGAAAGATTTGTAACGATTGGTTCAATAATTTTTTTAAATCGGCTCACCTATTACTTTCCGGACAAACCCTGTAAGGTTCTAATATATCTAGGATAAACTCCTATAGCGATATATAGATAAGATACCCCTTGAAATGAGTGCAATCCTTTGGACTTTAGTTTGAAAACATGCAATCCCTGCTGAAATATACCAAAACAGCAAAACTCTAAATAAATCCCTCGAGTCATCATTATATGTATATCCTGATTATTACTATCAGCATTTGTAGTAAACAAGTTTTCGACCAAGCTTAAATTAGGTTAATCTCGTCGAAAATCTCGTCCCTTAAAGTCTGTAAAATCCATTTAATATTAGCACGCCAGACCTTTCTGCTCAACGTGTGGTGATCGCTACTAAACCCTTTCTTCAACTATTCAATTAAATACAACCGAGCAACAGGAAATGTTCCACGCTGTCAACATTAACAACAACCCGCCAACAGCAGCTTATGCGTTACCAACCACATGGAATGGTGAACGCAATGAACATTCCTTGCCACAACCATAGATAATCTCACACATATACAGTACCACATACCTGCAAGCCCGCAATCACCTCAGCGCTGCAAATAGTTATGCCATACATTACCTACCACAAGACGCAGTTAACCTCAGAACGCACCACCGCTGTACCCCTTCTATCGCTCACGGCGTGACCTAACGACGAGCATTAAATATTGCAAATATAACTGACGCTAATTTCCCATTTAACAGACAGCCGAATCCCTAGCGGATGCATCGTTGCAACGCAGCATTGCCGAGAAGCAACGCGACGAGCAGGAATTGCTGGCAGCGCGTCGCCGCGAGCGACAACGGCTGCAGAGCAAACCGCCGACGATGCGACATTCACGTTTCGGCGGCACGTATGTAATACGGAATATGAAATCCGTGTCGGATCGCGACATCATTTGCCATCAGCCGTTGGAACGTGTTATGTCGATTGATTTCGATCGTGAGAAGAATCAGCAGAAGCGCTCATTTCGCCATGTTAAGGAGAATGTCGAGCTGACGCGGCGCAGTGCGTTCTCAGTGCGGTAAGTGAAAATATGCACACAATACCTAGCATAAGAATACCAACGAAAAGGTGAAATGAAATATCGAAAAAGTACTGTAAATGTTGAAAAATTCAATTAAGTGCGGTCGCACATATTGCCACATTCATTTCATATATGTATGTATACGTGTATGTGTGCGTGTGTGTGGATTCTTCATTTGTGTGACTTTTTCTTCGTTGCCTAGGCAAATATTTGGGTGTGTAAGGCGGTTCGTGTATTTGTATCTATTTACATGCGCCTTCGTGTTGGCCATTTTTCGTTTGCTTTGTAAATTAGCTTCATTTCAAATTCAATCAAATCAACGAAAAGCGTTCAATTACCTTTGCCGTATTCGATTTTTCGTTTTTATCCTTTCGTTGCTACCGTTATTTGCGGCAGTTGGCAGCTGCTAACGGTTTGGCAATTCAAGTAGATTAATCCCAGGTAGATGACCTCGTTCGGTCGCAAACATTAGTTATTGGCAAAGTTTGTGTTATTCGTGTTTTATTTTGTTTATTTGCTTTCTAGTTTAGATGATTTTTTGTTGCAAAATCGTAGAAAACTGAGTGGATTGATTAAGAAAAAACTCGATTTCCATCGAATATACATGTATATATGTGATTTTTTAGCTTTAGAAAAGTCTTCCACTTCCTTCCAGAGAAGAGTGGTAAAGTAGGCACACAGGCATAAGTCTCTATACGGCTGAGCCCAAACTAGATAATTAAGTGGGAGATGATGTTCTTTCAGGCAATTTATTGTAGATACCGGAATCGTTTTCCTGCTACCAGACCACGCCAGTGGCTTCCAAGCAGAAATCTCAGCAATAAATAAAATCCTTCTTGTTCTAACAAAGGTGTTCATAACAGGAAACCCTTTCATATATGAAGATAGCCATGCGGCTTTGATACCACTAAAGTCTCTTACAGTTTTATCAAAGATATTTCCGATTTTTGTTGACGAGTGATTTCAGACAACCAGGTAGCTGAGTGAAGTGTTCTATGCTGGAATCTAGTACCACAGGTAAACCTATTTCGGGCACCAGCGAAGTCGATCAGCCTCAACCCATTTGGGGATGTTCCCTCGTAAAGGCCTCGTAAAGGCCGAATTTACCGACTGCTGTGCCAAAAATATACCTTCTTTGTTCACCCTGGCGTTAAAATTGCCAAGCTCGATTTTGACATCGTGGCGGGGGACAGCATAGAAGACATTATTGGTCACATCGTCCTTCTCTTCCGTCGGGGCGTGGTCGCAAATCAGCTATATGTTGAAGAACTTCGAATTAGCGCGGATTGTGGTTAGACCTTCATTCGCCGGAGTGAATGATAGTACTCGGCGACGGAGTCTCTTTCCCATCACAAATCCCACACCAAACTTGCGCTGCTTTATATGAGCACTGTAATAAATGTTCTTATCCGGTTCATCGCATTTTTGGACGGCAATGATGTCAGCCTTTATTTTCACGAGGACATTAACCAGCTGGGCAGCGGCACATTCCCAATTAAAGGACCGGACATTGCATGTTCATACCCCCAAATCGTAATCCACATTTCGTTTGCCAAAGTCGTCATCAAAACAGGGATCCATCATCCGATGCTGGTTTTTACTGTCTATTGATAATGCTTTTTACGTGGCGGATCCCAAACACAACGCACAAGCCTGTGTAGAAGATGTTTCGCCTTCTCACCTTAGCGCGCCTTCTAACGGATGTTTTTTTGGCTGTTTAAAGGATACTTGGTCCAAGACCGGAAGTCGTGAGCTCCTTGTATCATATGTAAATATACGTTTCTGACCACTCTCCGACTCAAACCTTATTGAAGAGAAATGTCGAAAGAGCGGGAAGGAATATGACGTCGTTTGCTGTCCCTATCGGTCTACTTTTGGAGCGTCTTTTGGAGGTTCTGTTTATTTTCTTTCTCCCAATTGTTTTGGACCGATTCCTGGAACATCTCATATATGAAAGGTTAATTGCAACCATATGCAGGGCAACACGTGTTCTTATGGTGGCTGTTATCATTTGAATTGAAAAAATTATAACCTACATTTTTTTAATGCGAGCCTGCAGTGATTTTTGTTACAGATAAATTGCCAAAATAAAATAAAAAAAAATTTCTCACTTGATTTCTTTCGAAATTTATCTTGTTTTTATGAACGCGTTTAAAGGATCGTTTGTTTTGTTGTCGCTGCTTTTTATTTACCCCATAAGATATGCGCTCAAACGTAGCAAAATAATAAATATAAAACCCTCACCTGCACAACACGTGACATTGATGAACTTTTACGATGTGACTGGTTGACTAACGTGCTGCGAAGCCGGTGCACACGTCGTTGATATGCATCAGCTGAAGTGCCACGAACAATACAATACGTTAGTTGGCCAAAGTATATGAGTTTTTATTAGCTGACAAAGCGTAAACATTCAGCAATTACTCCTGAGGTTGCGCATATGCCACGGCACCCCACAACAACAACAGCAGCAGGAGCTGTGATGTTGAACTTCGCGTTGTTATTTGCCGCGTATGCAGCGATTGTGGTGTAAATAAATTAAAGGTAATTCCACTTGTTCGCGGCACACATTTGTGCTGGAATTAAAAATCGAGATTTTACGTTTTTTCTTCAGTAAATAATGTGGATTTATTGCATTTTTGTCAGATCGCTGGCATTATTAAGCCCATACTGCTCCCTGGTGCTAACCAATTTAATCCTTATCCAGCAGTTCTGTGAATTTAATAAAAAAAAACTTTTCTTCTTCTTTTTCACCCATTAGAGTATCGGCAGCAGTGAAATATGTTTCTTCTCACCCGGCTGTATCTGGCATCCTTAATGCATTATGCAAAGTAACTGTCTGGTAAACTTTGTGCTGCTTGTGTTCCAAGGTCTGATGTGTTCCTCTAAATTCCTTCAAACAACTTTTGAAGGAGCTGAATGACATGGGGTAGCTTAGGGCAATTGTGTCTTCAGCTGCCCCCAATCCGGTCAGCTCGTACTTTCGAACTCTCGATCAGAGTACGATTGGCCCAATCTTCTTTACTGGACACATTATTTTCATGAAATGATTTTCTTTGAATTTCGATAACATACCTCATAGATTGACAGAAATTCTCGAACAAAAGTAAGTCAAAAGTACTGAGACCCTCATATTCGGCATCAGGGGAGTTGAAACGTCATGATTTCATTTCAAAACTTTTGAGACGTAAACAGAATACCTTGAGGACTCAATATGTGCCAAGTTTAATTTCGAAATCTCTATTGGTGGTTGCCTTATATACTGGAAAGTGCAGGCGTGATTGTAATTCGATTTCACTCAATATCCCACTTAGGTATAAGAAAGTCTGGTTAATGTTATCGTTATATAGAGTTGAAATTAATAAAGGGTTTCTTTAGTTGTAGAATTTCACTAAAAGTGTAGGCAAAAATTAGTATGATTTTTTCCTTTCCTGGCTCTCCGGCCAAATATTTTTCTCTCAGGCTGCTATGCCTGTCTGTGACATCTGTATCAAATGTGTGGTCTGCTGTTGTCCTGGAGGAACACTACATCCTTCCTTTTGGTCAATTCTGAACGCTTATGGTCGATCGCCTGACCAGAAGCGGTCAAGTTGTTCGCAGTAGATGGTAGATTTAATCGTCTGGCCTCATAGTGGATGATTCCTTCCAATCCCACCAAACACACAGCAAAACCTGCCTGGCCGTCAATCCCGGCTTGGCCACTGCTTGGGACGATTAACCGGCCTACGACTACGACCGTTTTCGCTTGTTATTGTCATATGTGATCCGTTTTTCGTCGCCAGTCTCCATCCGCTTCACAAATGGGTCGAGTTCGTTTCGTTTCAGCAGCTTATCGCAGACGTTGATTCGGTTCAGAAGGTTATTTTTGCCTCAAATCATGCGGCACTCAAACATCAAGCTTTTTTCTGCAGATGGTTTAAAATGGGCGATGTCACATGCCATCTAACTCGGTGTTTTCCGTAATTTGATCGGTACGTGGGCTGCTATATATATTTCTGGCCTAATAATGAAAGTAGGAATATTTGTCAACGAAAATGGTTTTATTGTTCTTCAAAATATTCTCCATCAAGATTTATACACTTTTGCATGCGCTCAAACCAATTTTCGAAGCACTATTTCCACTCTGATTGAGACACCTCTAAAACATGATTTTTGAATGCTTCAACAGCATCTTCTGGCGACGAAAATTGTTGACCACGCATTATTTTCTTGATGTGTGGGACTAAAAAGAAGTCACTGGGTGCCAAGTCAGGGCTGTACGGTGGATGACCCATCAATTCGACGTTTTGGCCGGTCAAAAAGGCGCTGGTTTGAGCCGATGTATGAGAGCTCGCAATGTCATGGTGCACAATGATTCGTCTTCTCTTGTTCGTTTTTCGAATTTCTCCGAAGACTTCAGGAAACAAATAGTGGCGTACCACTCAGAACTGATCGTCCTACGTTGCTTAAGCGGAACAGTCGCCACATGACCAGTTTTGCCGAAGAAACAGGCGCCCATTTGCTTCGAAGTGCTTCTTCCATGAACAACTTTCGTTGGATTTGGCTCGTCTTGGAAGACCCACAYGGTCGATTGCTGTTTTGTTTCGGGCTCATACGCATAGATCCATGATCCGTCACATGTGACGATCTTATAAACGTCTTTTGAAGCACCGCGATCGTATTTTTTCAGCATTTCTTTACACCAATCCACACGAGCCTTTTTTTGAGCGATTGTCAAATTGTGCGGAATCCAACGAGCACAACCCTTTTTTACGGCCAGATGCTCATGCAATATCGAATGTATGCTGGTGGGAGAAATGCATAGGCATGCCTCTATCTGAAGKTATGTTACATGACGGTCTTGCATTATCAGTTCACGTACGGCATCGATGTTTTCTAGCACAACGGCTGTTTTTGGACGACCTTCACGGAGTTCGTCTTTGAGCGAGCGTCGGCCACGTTTGCATTCGTTGTACCAGTTTTTCACAGTGCTATAGGATGGTGCTTCATAGTCATAC